TGACAGGTAACTTTATTTAGGGTGCAAACATTAATGAATCACTGGTGGTTGCTTTGACTTAAAGAGAAATATTAGAAAAACAGTGAGGAGGTGGGACAGAGACTGTTTCATATAGTAACTTAAAGTAACCTTAAATTTGCCTTACTGTAAAGCATCTATAAGATTTCTGAAAAAAAAAAAGTAAGAATTTAAATAACAGACAATTCTACCCTTATCTTCTTGACACTTCCACTGCCGCTTCTCTTTGAATCCTGTTACAGTAAGACCACTCACACTACAATTATTAACAATAAGAAGAAACTACAGAGCAGGTTTCCTGGTGCTAAGGTGCCCAGAGATGGCAATATACTGACAAGACAGAATCCATTATACTCCTTTTTAATCTTCACATTATCACATGAACTATTGTGTCTCCCTGCATTGCCTGACTGTCAAGATATGATCTACAGCATATTACACAACTTACCCATAAGGACAAATAGAAAAATCCCAGACCATATCTGTATTTAGACGTTTGACCTCATGAGATAACAGAATATATCATAAAGTACATTCTGAAGACCTGAGTGGAAGTCAAATTCTTTTTACTGGTTCTGTCATGTTTGGATAAAATAATAATTGTCATATTCTTCAAGCATTCAGAAGTATCACAAATTATGCTTTAAACAATAAACCGCCAATTATTAAATTATACCTAAAGTCAGAGGGACTCTCCTCTGTGTCCTCTGAGCACAGGCTGATGGCTACAGTTGCAGAGCACAAGCGCCTCTGATGTATGGCATCTAAAAACTTCCCACCGCAGAAATTCCCAAGTTTTCAATGGCTGGGCTCGCTGCCCGGCTGGAATGCGTACTTCAGCGATACGCCTACAGCCGCTGCACCACCCATGGCCGAGGAGCACCTACAGACTCGGTTCCCAGAGCAGCTCCTGTACTCCAGAAATGCTGCTGGGGTAGCAGAAACCTCCTCATGAGCGTTCAGCTGCAGAGAGCTCAACTCAGCACAGTTTAAAGAGGACAGAAACAAACACGTAAACAGCATCTGTGGCGTCTTTACTGACTTTCCTGGAAATGCATTAACCTTTTAGAGTACTTCAAAAATAAACACACACAGAAGGGAGGCAAGAGTAGCCGTTCTCTCCCAAAAGTTTCTTTCTGCCCGTCCTCCCACTCGGCTCTGAGCTTCCCGCTCCCTGGGATTAGCGATCGCTTTCACCAGGGATCAAATGAATGACTTTTCCGCTAATGACACTTAAGAGATGCTGAAGCCATCCCTGGGTGCCACCAGGGAACCTGGCGAGCGGTGGCAGCCCCTGACCCCACGCCGAGGCGGCCGGGGCGAGGCGAAGCCAAGGGCAAGCCCCGCTCCGCAGCTGAGCCCGGCGGCCGCTCCGGCCCCACCGACAGCGCCCTCGGCAGCAGCAGCCGGAGGGGCGGCCGGGCCCGTGTCGGGCGGTTCCCCGTCCCCGTGAGACAGGGGCTGCAGGGGGTGCCGCCGCCGCCCCCCGTCCGTCCCCCCCCGGCATGGCGAAGCGCTGTCACTGACGCACATTTAATTCGCCCGGCTGCGGGTACCGCGCAGCGCCGCTCGCATCCTCCCCCCGCCGCCGGGGAGGGGGCGGCTCCGGCGGGGAGGGGGAAAGTCAAACTGCAGCAACAAAGTTACTCCCCCCCAAGCTCCCCCAGACCTGCCCCGGCCCCCAAGGGGGTGGGCAAAGGGGGAGGGGGGAGCCGTGTCCGCCTTACCTTGTTTGACGCACTTGAGGCGGATGGGGTCCTTGCAGTGCTTGATCACGGCCAGCACATCCCTGATGGTGAGCCCGGCCACGGGGGTCTCGTTCACCTCCAGCAGCAGCTCCTCCGGCACCAACTTGCTGCCGCCCTCATAGGCCACCTTGCCGGGCTTCACCTCCCCCAGGTAGGGGAACTGCCCGTTCTCGGCGCCCCCCTTCAGCTCGAAGCCCAGCTGTCCCTCCGGGTTCCTCACGATCACGATCTCGTGGACTCTGCTCGTCCAGTGGCTTTTCTTCTTCAAGCCCTTGGACATTGCCGTGGGGATGCTCTGCCCGACTCCCTCCCTGCGGTCCGTGCTTCTTCCCTCCCTCCCTCTCTGCCCCCCTCCCCGGGGCAGCCGGGCTCCTCCGGGCAGGCTCGGGGCGGGCGGGAGCGGCCGCCGCTGTTGCGGCCCCGCGGGACTGCGAGCTGGGTCGGGGAGCGCCTCTGTGCCCGCTCCGCCCGGCTTTAGCTGATATCCATGGCAGCCGCGGCGGCCGGACCCTGCGCGTGGATGTACTAGTTGTAGAGAAACTGGCAGCGGGGAGGAGGGAGGGAGGGAGGGAGGGGACGGCCGCGGCGCGGGGAGGAGAAGGAGGAGGAGGAGGAGGGGTGTCGATGTCGGTGGTGGAGCGAGGCGGGCGCTGCCTCTCCGCTCCCGCCTCGCCTGACCCGGTAGTGAAGGCCGAGAGAGAGGCTGCCTGGCACGGCCGGCAGAAGGCGGAGAGCGGCCCGGGCGGGGGGGCGAGGGCGCCCTGGGAGAGGGAGGGAGAGCGGCGACCCCCGCCCGGCCCCGGCCGAGAGGGGGCGCCCGGGGGAGCGATAGCGCTGCCCCCACGGCCAGCGAGCCCCGCACCGACCCCCGGCCAGCGAGCCCCGCTCCGGGCGAGCCGAGCCCCGCACTGACCCCCGGCCAGCGAGCCCCGCTCCGGGCGAGCCGAGCCCCGCACTGACCCCCGGCCAGCGAGCCCCGCTCCGGGCAGCCTGAACCCCCACTGCAGCGGCGAGTGGACCGGCAGCGCCTGGAACCACCCCGGGGGCACCGCATCCGTGCCCCGCGGGGATGGGGGAGCTGCCCAAGAAGGAGCGGAGGAAGGTGTGCGGTCCAGAAGCTCTGCTCGTGGCCAGGAAGGACCGGAGGCAGCCAGGCTTCGGGCGGTGGCTGCAAAACCAAGCGGCAGCTGTTGGCTTCGAGGATCACTGTCTTACGGGCGTTTGCAGAGTAACTTCACTCGGCTCGGCTCGGAGGTTTCACGCTCAGTTTATTGAGTTGTTCATGGGCATTGAGTTGCTGTGGCTCCAGGAAGCCAGAGCTGATAGTTCAGGTGGGTGCTACACCTGAAGAGGGTATAACAATGGGAGGGGTGGCAGTTCTTCCTATAAAATCTACTGACAGTCACCTCCCAGGTGTTCACCACTTTGCCTTCTGCTACTTGGCTTCAAACCCCAAATGACCTTAGTAGCCAAAGAGCGACACTCCAACCTGCAGAGCTTCCCTCAGCCTGAGAACTTGGATGCACTGATCAGCAGGTGATACTCAGCTCACTCCTTTAATTAGTTCTGTCATATGCCTCACACATGTGCGTGAGCAGTGTAGTGTAGCAATTGGCATGTCTTTATGTGAAGCTTGCCTTGCCTAAAGAAATAGTTTCCATCCAAAGGGGAGATTGACAAAATACAGGCAGAACAACCTCCTGACTTTAAGAAGTGTAGTTTTTGTGCCTGCAGGATATAGGAGAGCAGGATACAGGAAGGCAGGGGTCTGCAGACAGCATACTGAATGGGGGAAGGCAGGAAAAACGTACCATGTGTTACAGCATGTGATTTAAAGATGGTCAGATATTTTTAAAATTTCAATTAAAGTGACTCTGCAATGAAATTTTTTGCAAATTGTATTGCTGTTTTCCTTATAGGTTCCTATGGAAACAGGCCTCTGTGCGATCGTTCTTGGCTGTGTCTCCTTCACTTCTCCAATAACTTTTGAAGCTGTTGGGCAGTTTCACCCAAATCTATCTCAAATATAATTAAGCTATTTCATGAAAACAGGCAGCTGGGTAGGGCTGAGAGGTCCTGTAAATGTCCCTAAGGCTGTAATATGAACTTGTGTCTTATTAAATGGTGATTCACATGGTTGAGAGACCATATAAATGTCTTGGTAATGAGAAAAGTTTCAATTACAGCTCATTATCAACCTCACTATAAGTCTATGGGAAACCAGAGTTCTTCGGTTCACGTTCTCCCAGAATTACTTGCGTTCCAAAAGTGGAAGAGGCACATGCAGAGGGGAAGGAAACAACGAGAAATTACTGACAGCTATACTCTGCAAGTCATTTCACCTGCTCTGCGGCGGGGGCCTGGTCAGAGTTGCAAAGCTCTGAGTGTGAGGGGCTTCACAAAAGCAGGCTCAAAGAGTGAACAGTACAAAAACGACCCCACAAATCTGGAAATAAGATATGCATGAGCACAGGCAGCTGAAGATGGCAGGGGAGCTGGACAGGTACTTTCATTGGAAGGTTCTGTTTTCACTGGTGGGACAAGGGTCTCCTTTTCCAAACACCATCGTGAGTGTCCTGATGCTACTAGGAGCAGAGGCTCTGGTCTGGACAAATATGGGCTAAGGAATTTTGAAAGAGAGCAAGAGAGTCAGTAGATTTGTCTCTCTGTAGCCCTACCCTTGCGTTTTGTCTTGCTCTTTAGTTCAGAAGTATGGTAGGAAGCAAATGGCTGAAAAGAGGAATTGAAAGACATAACATCTTATTATCCTTCAGTTTCGCAAATTTCACCACAGTCACTTCTTTGGTGAGTCCTGTGCTCTACTAAAGCCCACTCTACCAAAGAGGTCACCACTTCTTAATTTAGAATTTATAGTTATTCTGCTAGTATAGTATTGCAGTTCTTGATTTGTCTGATAATTAAAATAAATTTCTGAATAACTCCATGTTTACCACAATATATGTACAACACTAGGACATCTGCCAAAAATGCAGCTTTTAATAAATATGGCAAGAAATATTGGAAATATTCCTAGATGGGGGAAGGGCATCCTGTGGGTGTTATTTTTCTGTTTCTTAGGAGTCTCCAGTAATTTATTGATCAGAATTTTTTTAAGTGCTCATTACCATTTTAAGACAGCTGACATTGGCAGTAGGTAATAAGTAGGTACCTTGCTAAAAAGGTGGTGACACAAACTCCTATTTTAAAGGACCTACAAGTGAAAGCATTTCTGATTTCATATGTATTATGGACAAATCAAGCTGAGTGAGCTCTTCATTTCCCACTGCAGTTGTATTAATCTAAAATAGTACCCTGCAGAGGTGCTTGAATTGGTGCTCCTGGTGCATTAACTTTGCTTTCTGAAGGTGGGCAGCACTGTGAGCCAGAAAGACCCCAGCACAGGCATATGCAGTTTGACAGAGAGGTGGGAGGGTAAATGGAGGGAGCCCTAGCAGTTTTCCCAAAGTACAGCTGTGTGTTAGTTGATCTTCCTATGAGGAAAGGATGGCATTTTTCAGATTCTGATACCAAGGAAATTTGGTGAGTAGAATGGCAGGTCATTCCTGTTAAGATCAGGAAAGAGTGAAGGATACTGTTACTAAAGAATGACTGAAGGATTCAGTGTTTCTCTGCAACATTTTCATACAGGGGGCATAAGTTTTTTAGAGTGTATATATATGTGGATAAAAATTTGCCATCGTATCATCACTGGTTTAAGTTCTTGAGGCCTAGGGCAGTGGTGCCAGAAATGCATAGTTTGCTTTGGTCTTCTATTTGAAAGTATATTTGGAGGAAATTAAACCTCATACAATGTCCTTTTGCATCAGCTTCACTCTTTAAGATAATTTTGTTTCATTTTTACAGGGATAGAGGGCAATCTGTAAAACAAGATTATTCTTGTCGCTGACAGAGCAAATGTCCCAGCACGTAGCTGAGAGGGCGAGCGGGCAGATTTTCTGTCTGGCCCCCAAAGAGCCTGAAAAGGACTTTGTGACTTGCCAAGACCTTTCTGTTAATCCCTTCCATTGGTTCATCCCAGGAGGGTGTGAACTGGTCCTGTGTGTGAACGTAAGGCTATCTAACACAAGGGATTTCCTATGAGTAAAAGTAACAACAGCACATAATGAAACACGCTCAGCAAACACAACACAAATGCCTTTTATTTTTCCTTTAAATCTGAGCCTGTAAACATAGGAATCAGTAAGTCACTGTACTTTTGGGAGTAAAGTTGAGCACATGAGTAAGCTGAAGTGTGAGACTTCATAAATAAATGCATTTTGTAGCTGGAAAGGAATCCTGCCTACTGTAATATTACAGATTCAGTAAAAAAGTAACTGAATTCTGTATGTATTTTCAGTATGTCACATTTTTAGATAAGTGAATTCCTTAAACAAAAAATGATGTATTGCATGTGCCAAAGGGGAAAAAAAATAAAATATATCCATTACCTTCTACTATTTATGCAGGAATGGAGTTCTCTACCTTGTAATTTTGTTTGTAACATTGGGCTTGAACTCAGTAGACATTAAATTTCCTTCTTCAGCACATACTTCCTGCGTGACTGGCTGATAACTACATGACATTGCTCTCTCTTATTTTTTCCATTTTAGTGTGGGCATAATTCTCCACAGTTTTTTATTTAGCATGTCAGCTATCCAACAGCCTTATTCTTACATAAGCTTCTCAACTTTACAATCTAGATCCACCACAGGACATATAATCATCTAGGACTAGGAATTCAGGTGTTTAAATCCAAATTCACAAAAAATTTTACCTATGCTCTTAGTTGCTCCAAAAGATTGTAATAGCTAGTCGTCCTAAGAGTGGAGCTCCAGAGTATCTGTTGATTTCACTGTCTTCTGCTTGGAGTCCTAAATGTTTTCCTTGGGATTCTGAGAAAATTTGAAGTCCTGTCTTTCTCTGGATAAAAATTTAAAATTCCTAATTTTTCAGTTGCAAATTTCACCAAAAAATCACTAGAAATTTGTTACAATCTTTTCTATTGGCACTTATCTTCTATGAGCTTAGTACTACTACTATGAACCTAGAGTAATTACTAATATAATCTTTTCCAATTTTCTGGCTTCAGCTTTTGAGAACATTTGCTTCAGAAAGACTAAAACTTTAGGCTATTTATCTAAAACCTCTTTTCCCAAGTTCTCCAAATTCTCAAACTTTGATAAAAATACTCACGTTTTATTGTACTACAAAGCAAAAGCATAATTATTGTGTGTGTTTGGTTGGGGTTTTTTTGTAAGTCTTAGACCAAAATGTTTCATAGTTTTGGCCATCAGTGCTTTAAAATAAT